TTTTATCTTGCTCTATTTATGCCTGGGATTTCTTATATAAGAGAAACCATGCATTAATTAAACTTGTATGTCTGATTTATTTCACTTAACATTATGGTCTTGAGGTAAATCCATTTTCCCCCAAATGACTCACATTTACCCTTCTTTATGGCAGAGTAGTACTCCACTGTGCATAAATACCATACTTTCTTTATCTATTCACCTGTTGAGGGACAAATAGGCCACCTTCAAGATTTACCTGTGATGAATTGTCTACTATACACATGGTCAGGCATGCCTCTCAGTGATGTGATATCTTTAATTCTTTTGGGAAGATACCTGGAAGGGGAACAGTTGAGCCAAATGGAATTTCCAGTTTTAGTTTTCTGAGGCATCACCATACCATTTTCCGTGGTGGTTGTATTAGTTTGCATTCCCACCAGCAATGAAGAAGGGCTCCTTTACCTCATGGCCTCACCAACGTCTGTTTTTATTGGACTTCCTGATGATCCTAAATAATAATTCTAAACTGGAGAGAAGTGGGTAAAAACCTGCGTGCCTGGGGTCACATCTGTCTCCACTACTTAGTACTACCTTGTTTGTCCTTGGGAAAGTTACCAACGTCTCTGTGCCTCTGTTTTCTGTAAAATAAGATGATTGCAGCTCTTTCCTAGAATCTTTATTATCAAAATGTGTTAATTATTACTAGGGTGTGAGGCATCAAGCCTGGGGACAGTGAGTTCTCAGTAACACTGTCATCGGTGACAAGGATGTGATGATGGCTACATTGATTGAATTCTTACCACACTCAGGCACTTTGCTAAGCATGGGTGTCATGAAATCACACTGTAGACATTGTGGCTCTAGCTGGGTCTGATGGTACACACCTGTAATCCCAGCACTCAGGAAGCTGAGGCAGAAGGATCATGGCAAATTCAAGGCCAGTCTGGATTACATAATGACTTTAAGGCCAGCCTGAACTACGGAGTGAGACTTCCTCAAAAAACCACATCTAATTAATTTAAAACCAAGGTACAGAGAGGGGCCCTACAGGCAATGGAAGGGCTTAAATCACTCCGCAGAGAGTGGAGGAACCAGACTCACTCGTAGATTCCTGTCCCCAGCATGTTCTATGGCACTACAGTGACAGGGGGTGTTCCTAGAGAAGGGTTCACACACGCTCTTCCTGTCACTGCTCAGGCCGTCAGGACCTGAGCATCCTCAGCTTCTCCTGGCTGCTGCTGCTCCTCTCCTCCTCAGACCTCTGCGGAGGATTTTTTGAAGTCTGTCCATCCATAAGACCTGGATGTCACCACTCCTGTCCCCTCTGCACTGTCGAATGAGAAGGCCGGGATCAGCAAAGCATCCTACCTCTGGAGAGGTCATTCCAGGCTGTGCTTTGAAGAAAAGGAGATTGCACAGATGAGTTCATGTCACCTGGCTTCTTCAGTTCCTACGGGAAGCTTTGTGGTGCTCCCTGCATCCTCCCTATGCCCTGTGAGGAGCAAGCTTGCTCCCTGCCACTTGCAATTGGACAGCCTCAGTGTGGGCAACCTGGCCAGAGGGGTCTGGTTCTCCTCTGAGGAACCTGCTGAGGGGAAAGGAATGGGTGTGACTCCTGAGGTCCCAAACTCTGCACACCCATTCCCAACAAGACGTCAGAGACTCCTGCTCCAGAGGCAGACAGAGCCGGCTGGAGCAGATGCTGCAGAGCCCACTCCAGGTGTGCAGTGGGGCCCCGGGAAGAGTCCAGAGCTAAGCTTGTGTCTTAGTTACTTTCTTATTGCTGAGACAAAATACCTGGCACCCGTGATTTAAGGCAGGAAAAGTTTATCATAGCTCAGTTTGTAGAGATTTCAGTCCATAGTTGGTTGGCTCCAAGGCAGGTTGGCGTCACAGAGGAGAAACACAGCAGGGCAAGTGTGAGACAGCAAGCAGTGAGCCTGCCTTCTTTCTGTCCTTTGTGTCCCTCCTAGGCTACAAGCCTATTGGTTGGTGCCACCTGTGCCCGTGGTGGAACTTCCATCATCCACACCCAGAATGATGCTCAACTCATTTAGTTATGACACAACCTTGATCCACATTCAGACACCCCTCAAAAGCCCCACCTATGACCACATGAGGCTTTAGGGGGACATCTAGAACCAAGCCAGAACAGCCGGGCTGTGCTCAAGTGGCTGACAGCAAAGTGGCACAGATGCACCCACAAAGGCCACAAGGGCACAGCACAAGGACCATGGGTTGGAGACACAGTATGTGTGCTTCCCAAGACACAGGGAGGGCTGACAGGAGGGAGGGAATGAGACAGAGAAACACAGAGACACACAGCGAGAGAATCAAAAAGCACAGAGGAAGGCTGGAACTCAACTCACAGAAGCAATCAAGGAACACAAAGAGAAGCAGGAAGAAAAGAAAGGGAGTGAGAAGGGAAAAAATTAGGAGGGAGAGGGGGAAGTCTAATGTTAAGTTTTAAGGTGTTCACATTTTTGCAGTGTAACTCACTCCTTTACAACCCTACAGTGAGGACACCTATGCCCTGAGAAAATGGTGTGTGTGTGTGTGTGTGTGTGTGTGTGGAGAAGGAGGAGGAGGAGTGAGGAAAGGGTTGAATTTGACATTTGGCCTCCCACATCTGCAGGACAGAAACAGCATGGGAACCCCTGGTTCATCACTGAACTGAATTCAGCAGGGGCTCAGAGCCAGAATAACCGAGAGCCATTCAGGAGTTCTGGAAGCTGTGAGGGTCACGTTTGCTTTGAACAAATGCATTCAAGGTCCAAGGAACCCTAGCATTGAAGAAATCTTACCCAGAACCTAAAACGCAGGGTGATTCAAAGTGATAGTTGACTTGCATGTGGAAGGCAAAAGTCAGCAGCAGCTTGCATCTAGGTGCCCAACCATGGGACTTAGCATCACTGCTAGATCACAGGGCCAAAGTCTGGAGTTACCCTTGACCTGTGTTCTCACTGTGTGTGGCCATCACAGTCAGGAACCAACTCAGTACTCATCCCGCACCCTCACAGCCATTCTGTCACCCTCCTGGCTAACACAACCCTGGTCTGCTCTTGCATGATCATGTGCCCAGCCCGAAGCTCTGGCTCGCCACTGATCTGAGCCAATTGCAACAATTCTATTCATTTGTTACTCGCCTCCCTTGCAGCTAGAGGGAGCAGTGGGATCCAGACCGGGCCAATGAGGCCCAAGCAGAAATCGGCTAGCAATAATTCTGACCATTTAGTTGGTCCTTCAAATTCAAGACAATGATGGGCCTGACACTGTCCTCTTCTTTATACCACCTGTGATATAGGTGAGCTATCTGGAGTCACAGCAACCATATTGTGACAACAATGAGAGCACACAAAGAACATCAGAAAAGAAGCTATGCCACTACTCTGTAGCTCAACCACTGCATGCAGCCACCTGTGCTCCACATATGTGAGCCACAGGCCATCAGGTTGCTGAGCCTTGCACCTGGGCACTGCCATGGATCTTCTTGCACATCCAAATGGCCACCAAATTCTTCTAACTTCACCTCCCAAATATGTCTCCCTATAAGCACCTGCCCTTCTCCTCTGCTCAGCTTAGTCCTCCCATAGGCATCAAGGCATCTCTCTAAACACAGATCTATGCCCAGCCCCGCAGAGGGTCCCCTTGCTTTATGAAGGGTTAAGTTCAAAGCCCTTAGTGCAGTAGCCAATATTCTTAATGACAGTTTATCATCATCACCTGCTGTCCCCTCCACTCACATACACACACATGCAAATACACACATACATACACACACATATGTACATACACACACATACACACACTCCCCAAATACATGCTCCAGCCATATCTAGTTACTCCCCATTCCCCAAATGCATGAGGCTCTCAAACTCTGTGCCTTCACTTCATTTAAAGTTCCTCCCTGATTCTTGCTCTTTGGGAAAGCAGAAAAGGTTTTATAGATTGGGAGCAGCTGGCATGGACCTTAAAGGATGAGTAGGAGTTCTCTGGTATAAAAATCTCTCTCTCCCTTGTGTTTCAGGAGCTAATGTGTTCCTGTCACTACTGATGGATTAGAAAGTCCTCAGTGTCCATTGACACAGATTTCCTGTAGCATGTGAGCTCCCAGCTGGAAGCATCCTGCTTCTCCACCTCTATCCTCAGGGCTTGACAAGGTATACACTTGGTCCAGCATTGCTGCCTGCCTATTGTGTCCACTGGGGCAGAAACACATTTCACCAAAATAGTGCTGCAAGGTGCAAGAGCAGTGGGAAAAAAATGAGGCTGGGGGAGAGATCACATGCTACATGGGGCTGAAGGTCAGGCTCAGATGCAAAGAGTAGAAGATGGGCTGTGCAAGGAACTGTGCCGGCTCCCCTGAATTGCTAACTTCCCTGGGTTAAGAGAGCTTGGGGCAGTCACGGATCATGGGGATGCTGTACTCACCAGTGGGTTAATCCACGGGTATTCAGAGCTGTGTGTGCTAGTGGGAAACAGCACCCACTTAGAGGAGTGTCACTGAGGCATGCCTTTCCAGGGAAGGTCTCTTGATGGCACTTGTCCCCTGTGCCCCGTTTGCTGGCTGCTATGAAGTGAGCAGTTTTTTCTCCCTCACAGTTTTCCACCACGATGTTCCTGATTTGGAGAGAGTTTATCATGGGTTAAACCCTCCGAAACCATAAGCCAATTTACAGCCTCTCGTCCTTTAACTTATGGATGTCAGGTGTTTGTTCCCAACAATAGGAAAGGTGATTAATAGAGAGGTGGACAGTTATAATCTTTAGGCTCAACAGCTCTTATTTCCTGGGTGAAACCTATCTCTGCATTTTTCACTGCAGACTCCATGCCCACAGGACAGGTCAGCATTATCTCACATAGAGGTGCACATACCCACAAACATACACTCATACATACCCGATAATGATAGTGGGAGGGATGATCATGAAAATAATTTGAGCAAATTAGTGCTTGTTTCCAAGATGAGATCATCGTATGTCTGCCCAGTGGTCTGAATTACAAAAGAAAGCCAGTACTGTCGTTGAGTTTTCATTTATTCATTCAGCAAACAGAACACCTCCCATCTGCTATGATTCCTGCTAGAAGCCAAGACAACTGACACGAACCCAAGCTGGTCCCTCTGACCTCAGAAAAGAAAGCAACCATGTAGGCTAAAAAACAAGCAGAATTCTTTCAGTCTAGAATCCAAAGGAGGAGCCCAAAAGAGAAAAGGAGATGACATTTCAGCTGAGCCAGAAGGCGGAGAGGATTGGGGCAGGAAGAGGAGGAAGACGGGCGACCTCTGCAGAGAACACGGCATGAAAGATGGCCCATCTAATTCTCTGCCCTATTCGGTGCTGCTGTTATAGCTTGTCAATAAATATTTTCTGCTCTGAAAAAAAAAAAAAAAGTAAATGGCATTTAGAGCCTGGAGCACGTTAGAAAGGTTATAGTGATAGATGAGCAACTGAAAGGGAGGAGAGGCAGGGAGGTGGGTAATGTTTACAGCCTGCACTGTGCGCCAAGGAATTTGGACTTGATTCAACAGGAAGCTGCTGCGGGCTCCGGGGCCTGGGGACCGCAGCGCCCGCCCCGTGTGCAGGGAGGCTGTTCCTCAGGGCCATGAAGAGGACCACCTGTTTCCAATGCAGTGTCTCCTTCCTGAGCTTTGTTCCCAAAGCCCTAATGGGCACCCACCCTCCCAAGCAGACGTCAGCCTGCAAACACATCGCTCAGAGAAAACCACCCCCTCTCATTGTTTCCCTTCGCCAGTAAGGAAAGAAAATGCCTTTGGTCTCTGCCCAGGTCTGTGCTGCTCGCACCCCACACCCCCGTGGGTTCAAAGGCACTGGGAGACACGCTGCTGTGGGGCCCGACACCTGTGCCGTGGCATCTGGGAGAGCTTCGTGCCCACCGATAGCTCGTGGCAATCTCGAGGACTGGATCCGGTGAGGACAATTCCCTCCAGTGCGGCGCGTTAAAAGGGAAAGACAGTTTAAGCTGCAGGAGGTGGAAGCCAGGAGGTGGAAGCCGAGCCTCGGGGAACCGGAGGCAGCCTCTGGCCGCGCCCCTGTGGCTCGCAGGCAAGCCAAACTCTGCACACAAACGTCTGCCTTATCTGGTGCTAGTTTTATAACTCGTCAATAAATATTTTCTATTTTTAAAAAAATGTTTTGGCTCCTTTGCCGGAACATTTATTCTCCTGATATCAAAATCGCTAAAGCGTTATGACCAATTTTTTTTAACAAGCTGATAGAAGTCCAAAGGGAAATATATCCTGATATATGCAAAAACGTGACACCACTCCCCGGGAGAAAAAAAAACCCACAGCAGCACATGTGCGCTGCCAGGCCTCTTCTCCCAAGCCTCGGAAACCTCCTTGCCCTTGGCAGCCAGGCCGTGGAGCCCCACTCCGCCCCAAATCCCCACCATCTGGCGTTTCTGTCTGCAAAGTGCAGGCCCTGCTACCCCGGGCTGCCTGCCCACCCTGCGGATGGAGCCCAGGCGCTGCAGAGGGCTGCGGGCTGGGCTGCCTGCCTGCCTGCCTGTCTGCCTGGTAATGACATGCGCCCACGCACGCACACAAACACACACAGGCACGCACACACTCTATCCAGAGCCCCGCCTGCCTCCTGCACAGCAGTGCAGGCCAGGCCTCCCTCGTCTACCAGCTCTCCCAACGCCACCCTCCCGCACAGCAGCTAAGGGGAGCAAATGTCAGAGAGGCAGTGCCGGTGATAGCAGCGTGGCGCCAGCAGAACTGGAGAGAGAAAGCGGGCCCCAGGGAGAGAGGCAGGCAGGTGGCAGAGGGGCCTCATTTGCTGGGCCATCTGGCAGCAGCCAAAGGAAGGCCCCCAGCTCCACCGACGAGGCCCTCCCCACACCCACTCACATTCATATCTTCGCACACCCGGGCACAGCCACTCGCTTACATCAACTCAGGCACTTTTTATAGAGCCCAAAACACAGACCTGCGCACACACTTGTGCAATCCCATAACCACATACACCCGTATGTGCCCACACACAAATGCACACACATAAGTATACCACTGTACAAATGTACACAATCCAACACACTGATACATTCCTATTTTCTTACCCCCATGCACAGCAATACAGGCATTCTTTGTGAGCCCTTAAGTAGTCACATGCATTCACACACCCAGCTGTGTAGTCACCCTGGGTATCCCGGGAAGGGAAGATTGGCTCCATGACCCCCTCCCCCCAGAACACAAAAGCCCACAGGTGCTCAAGTCCCTGCTAAAAACTGGGGTAGCATTTGCATTTTACTAGGACAGATCCTCCTGTACAGCTTAAATCTCTCTAGACTACTCAATACCTAATGCAATACAAATGCTGTGTAAAGAGTTGCTATACAACATTGTTTAGGGAATAACAACAAGAAAAAGTCTGTATGTATTCAGTACAGATGCAAATTTTTTTTTCAAATGTATTTGATCCAAGGTCGGTTGACTCTGGATGCAAAACCCATGGGTTCTGAGGAATGACTGTATACTGTACCCTCATGTCCCCCCCCCCTTTATCTCCTTCCTCTAGTTTATTGATGCAAATAAAAAAGATGTTATCCCATGTATGTGTTATGGGTGATACATTGTGTCGACCTGAGAAGACTAACCAGTTAACTAAGTGACCCAACCGCTCTGAACCCTGGAATGCAGAGGACAAGCCTTCCTGCTCTGGGATGTTGTTCACTGGGACTATTTGGGAAAGTCAGAAGTTAAGTAATTGAGCAAAGGACCAGGATCCTTACTTTGTAACGTCCTCAGCCTGTGCGAGAGGAGGGCATGCAGGTGGTGTGAGGGCCACGCCCACCCCGGGGGAGCAGCCTGCATACAGTAAGAGGCAAATGAGGATCCCCAGTCCACGCCTTCAGCTTGGACGTGGTCTCCTGGCTTCTAGCAAGACTGACTTCCACCTGGGACTCTTTAGCCTTTGTCGTGGACTCTTCCATCGTAGATTCTTCAGCGTTCAATCACAGACTTATCGGCCTCCTGATAATGGACTTGCAAAGGACACTGTAGTAAGCTCTGTACCTCGGGCTGGACTCTTTAGCCTCCAGCGTGCAGACACCCCCTGCAGGCATCCTCGTCCGATTCTGTGCCATCGTAAGCCAGTTTTGTAATTTCTTATCATTTGTGTATCTTGTGTTATATCTGTTTCTCTGGAAAACCTGGACTGATACATGCCTGAGTTGGCCCAGTCTAGACTAGACTGGCCACCCAGTTCTATCATCACTCCAGCCTACCTGGGGCGTCCAGTCACTTGCTGAAGAAACAGAGGTACAGAAAGCTGAAGAGAGCTGTACCAGGTGTCAGATTCCTCTGGCTCTGATTCCAGAGCTTGTTCCCCATCACCACCATGTCAGGTTTTGCAGCCTCTGCCCCAGTTCTCCTCCGTGCTCCCTTTGCTCTCTGTCCTCTCCCCACCACCCAGCAGTCCTCTAGGGCTAAGCCAGCCCATCAGTCTTGTTGGATCTTGTCAGGAGAGCAAGGAGTGGCAGAGACTCCAGGTCAAAGTTTAACATCAAAGAAAGATGCAGTAGATGCATCTGCTCTGGGGGTGCTAAAAATTGTAAGAGGAGGAGAAGGCAGCTAACAGCATCTGTGCATTCCAGTTTGCCTGCTCACCAAAGCAGGCTCTGAACCACAACAAGGAAGGGGTTGGACTTGTGTTTCTGGTGACTCCTTGGCCTGGAGCATTGTTAGGATACTTGATTTTTGCAGACTATGGAACACTGTGGTTAGAATGGCACCTGGCCCACATCTGCACTGTTTGGTATCTTTACATTAAGAAGGGTTCCTTCATTTCTCATCAGGAAATTGTGAGCTGTGATGTGGTAACACCCAGAATGTAACCATCTAGTGCCTGACAATGCTAAGTACTCAACACAACTTGACTGTTTTAATCCTGCTACCTAGTATCTGTATTTCAATTTTTAAAAAAAAAAAAAAAACGATAATCTGGCTGAGGACTCTAGATTAGTTCACATAGTCTATGTTAAATGAAATAAAAAGGTTACCATTGGCTAATTCAGCTTCAGTGCTAGTGAAGCTTCACTGGGATGGTTCTGTTCCCCACACCTAAGCATGGAGGAGAAAGCTGCTCCCTCCTGGAGAAGAGGAGGGAGCCTTGAAACAAATGCTGCATGTGCAAGTAGATGAAAAACGAAGCCATCAATCCATGTCCCTTCACAAGCGTTCTGCAAGCACAAACTTGGCCAAGGACACTCAGCCAGGAGCAGAAGGACAGTAGCATGCGATGTCCTGATAGTCATCTCACACTCTTTCCTCCACACCAGACTCCATCTCAGAGCAAATGTCAAATCTTGCAAATTGGAGGTGTGGGTTCCTCGTAACACTCAGGGCCATTTGGAGTCGATAAAAATAAAAAGGCTGAGAGAATGAATAAAGAAGATAAAATGAGAAGCTTTCACTCTCCCATCCATAAACACAGAAAAATATATTAACAACCCAGGAGTAACCTCACAGGAGATAACAGCATTATCCTTTACTATAGGACCTGCAAGACCAGAATCCATGGGATTCATGTCGTATTTCTGGGTTCAAGGAGTGACCTTGGAGGAAAGTGATCATGTTTGCCAACTCAGCACATAGCTTGTACCAATTCTAATCAAAATCGTAAGAAAGGTGCTTTAGAACATGGCAAGCTAATTGTGTCATGTGAAGAATGAATAAAGGTAGACAAGGAAATGTTGAACAAAGAAACATAGTGATGGGGAACTAAGTTTATTAGCAGTGAAAACTGTACACATCTACAGAATCAGGACACTAGTGATGGAGCAGGAACACACAGGTCAAGCAGAATAGGTGGTCAGAAGCTGGCACAGGCCCTGTAAGGACTGATATCAGATCAGAGATGCTTCACAAGCCTGTGAGAACTGCATGATCATTCAATAAACAGAGTTTATCAGATCCTTGAGAGAAAATCCTGTTGGAGCCTCCCTCCATAGCATTATATCAAAAAGCAGCAGCAGAAGAAAAAACCTCCTGAACATTCATCTGAGTTCTTTGTATGCTCAGACAGTGGGAGGAACCACAAGAGTAAAACTCAGGGTACAACTGTGTACACGTCTGAAACTTTTGAAAGCCAAGAATCATCACAGGACAGTGGTAGAAGCGGAAAGGTAGGAATGAGGGTAGAGGTTTATTACACAGTGTGTGTGTGTGTGTGTGTGTGTGTGTGTGTGTGTGTTTGAGAATATTCATGGTGAAACATAAACTTTTTAAGTTTTAAAAAACATAAATCTAGCAAACAAATAACCAAAGGGAAAATTACATCTGCTGCCAATAAAGTCCATGAGCCACTACTATAAAGAATTCCTCCATATGAGTAGCATTCACTGCAGCATCAGGAGAGAAGAGGGACCATGTGCTTGTGACTCTTGGAGTATCCTTTTCGAGTGCTTGATTTCCACTGAAAGATCTACAGGGCCCTAAGGAAGTTAATACATCCTTCTATTTGTTCAACATGTAGGTCATGTGACCTGGCTCCTCCAATTAGTGTACTGCATTTTCTAACACTGTGGCTTAGGGAGGGGCATATGACCAAGCCAGTCCAATCAGTGAGTGTCAGAGCTTCTCTGATAGGGGAACAGGGAGAAACAATCTCTTTCTTTCTGACAAGAATTTAGTGTACCCCTAGAAGCTTCTAGGAGAACTGTGAACCAAGGGTGGAGGAAGCCCATGAGAATAAAGCCAACACTAAGAGGATAATCAAGAAACAGAAAGCTTGTGATATTTTTTGAACTCTGGATCCAGTTCCACTTGAAGCTAGACCTAGTTCTGTTGAAGTGCACTGGATCAAGAAAAATTACCTTTTTTCTAAGGTAACCCTGAAGGTGGGACACCTGCCTCCAGCCTGGCTGCTTCTCTGTCTCCTCTGCAGGATCCATACCCTCATCCACCTTCCTTGCACTGAGGAAATAGCCCAGACCTCACCAGGACCCCTGGAACCACCACAGCAAGGTGAGATTCCCACAGTGGCAAAATGTACTCAGCGAAGAGGCTACTGGTGCCATGCTCTGGAGCTATTTTGAGAGAGACCTAGGATCTCCACGCTGAAGTGTCCTTGCTTATCCTGAGACTGGACAGCAGGTGAAGGAATCTACAGAAGTCAACTGGATTGGAAATAGTTATAAGTCAGCACCACATGGGTGGCCAGGAGAGGGGACCTGCTTGACTAGCCCCCTGGGTGCAGCCTGCTCCATTCTACCACCACACCAAAATGGAGGCTTCTCCAAACATCCAGACAGGACCCACTCTCAGGGCAGATGGTGAGATTGAAGCACCTTGGACAGACCCACCTGCCAACCTCTCACCCACTGCAGGTTCTAGCTTTGGAGACTCAGAATATCTACTTCTGGGACAGGGATCCTCCAAAGACCTCAGCCCCTGACATGGCCTCATGAAAATGGGATTGTGCCCAGTGGATACATGAGTCTCCTCCTGGCCCATGGCACAGGACTTCAAAGGACCAAACCACTCGTTGCTCCCTGCAAATTCCAGATCCCTAAGCACTGCATGAAAATCAACTTAGCTAAATTTACTTCCAGAAATTTCACTTTCCTGAGACAGCTCATTTCCAAATGATTTCCCCTCCTGGTGGTAATCATTGTTGATTTGGTTTGGCTTGGCTTGGCTTGATTTGCTTTGGTGGTACTGTGGATGGAACCTAGGGCCTTCGCACTGAGCTACGTCCTCTGCTCCTGTTTTGTAATGTTTTTATTTTGAGACAGGCTCAGGCTGGGCTCAAACTTGCATCCCTCCTGCCTCAGTCTCCCAGAGTGAATGCACCACCGTACCCATCTCGTAGTTATTGTTTTTATATTCTTTCCAATTACATTTGGATATTTTCACAAAGAAAAAACTAAATGCAACAAATATGGATTAATGTGTGCAGTATTAAAATGACCTCCTCCTCTCTACCCAACTAGAAAAATAGAACATTGCCCAGTAACTTCACCAGCCTATCCACATACCTTCCCCCATCCAAAGAAGTCCTGAATTTTGTGGGTATCATTCCTTTATGTTTTGAGCATGGTGTTTTCATACATGAATGAATTATAACATTGGAATCGCACTACATGTGGTCTACGTAAAATCTGCTTATATCACTCAGCAGTATGTTTCTAAGAGGTGGCGATGTGGTTCCAAATGACTGAGGCTTGTTCATTCTAGCTGCTGAGTATTCCTTTGTGTAAGTGCATCCTGATTTACACATCCATTCACCCATCTGCAGGTGTCTGACCTGTGAAGGTCTGTGTGCTGCATCAGACATGCTGCTGTACACGTGTCAGTGCACATTCCACAGTGCACACATGCAGGGGTTCTGAGGTGCCACACCCAAGCCTGGCATCGTACCATCCAGACAATGCTGAATTATTTTCCTGCACGCTCTCATTAACAATGTTGCTGGCTGTGTATTGTTATGCATCACCATTTCCCAAGCTGTCACAGAGTAGATTCATCATCAGCCCCTGCCGGGCTCTGTGACTTACAAGATGCCCTCCCTGCCATGAGACTCATGCTGACTAAAGGCACATGAGCAGAAGCAGTCCTAAACAGAAATCAGAGTACCTCACAAAGTTCTTCCTCCACTCTTTTCCCCTCCACCGTGAGAACATCATGTTCCAGATGGTGCAGGGGGCAAAGGGAGCCTGTCCCATCAGACAAGATCCCAGGATGAATAACCATGGAGCAAAGTCATACACAAAATAAATGACAAAATATACAGGTGAGACATAATCTTTATTGGCATATGTAGTTTGGCTTGGGGATATTTCTTACCGCATCATAATATGGCATGTGACTAATGCTTACCAAGCATCACCCACATACCACGCATGGCTCCTTAAAAGATGAGACTCGTGGTTTTATGAAATTCACACTCTGAATAAACAGCAAATTCCAAAGGCCCTAGAGACTTTCCAGGGTAACCACAGAGACAAGTTTGTCAGGGTGAACCTTTGCTACTAACAGTGACACAAACTTACTTCATGAATCCTCTAGACTTTTAAAAAGGAAGTATGTTTTGTTTGATCATCTTTATGCCTAGATCTTGTAACCTGAACAAATATTTCTAAGATAACAATATGCAATGTATTAACTACTGTTGATTTACTTTTTTAATTCTATATTTCTATCCTTTTTGCTGTTTTAAAATAAAAATATGAAATATGTGATGTGTACAAATGTATGTACCATATATGTAATAAAGCAAAATACAGTGTAAATGTCCATGTAGCTCCTACTCAGAAATGGATTGTGATCTCCAACGTTTAAAATAACATGTGGTGGAGGAACAGCTGCAGCCATAACTAGGGGCGGTGAGAGGACTCCCGTGATTCCTGCTGCCTGGCCAGACCACCTTGGGGTTAGTGAAGCTGGAAGGCCAGGAGGTGGTGGGTGCCAACCACCAGGTCCCCCATCACATCCCTTCCCCAACTCCATGGCCTTCTGCATGGAATGGTGGGTGAGGAGATGTCAGCAGAGGGACAGCACAGCACCTCCACAGGGTCAGAGGCAGCAGCAGTGGAGGTGACTCTCACCAGATCCCAGTGAAAGCCTAATAATGTGGTGAAGTCAAAACTGGACACAACAAAAATTGCCATCAGCAGATGGGTGCGTGACAGTTTGTGGTTCAGATGAAAATGGCAAGTTTGGCCGGGGATTTAGCTCAGCAGCATAAAGGCCTGCCTAGCAAGTGCAAGGTCATGAGCTGGATCCCGGTTCCAAAAAAAAAAAAAAAAAAAGGCAAGTGACAGTTCAACCATTTACAAGCAACAGCACACAGGAAAGCCAGCAGAGTTATGCTGATGGAATAATTTCTGCAGAAAACAAAAATACTACACACTGAATGGTTACAGCTTTCCCATATCTAGAAAGTGCGTGCTATCCACTTGGGACACAGGTACCTGGGCTGCTTGGGATGCGAGGACAGGAAGTGATTACTAGGAAAGATTCAAAGTGCTGTATGTGTTCACCATCCCCAGTGGGATGACAGTGTCTAGGTTCTACAAAGAGTATCTGCCATGCAGTCACCACACGCCGGCTGGCCTCATTCTGTGTCATAATACTGAACACTACGCTTTGGCATTAAATTCATTAGCTAAGAATGAATAATTTGTATACATGTGAAAACTGCCACCTATTATGGATCCACCAAGCACTGGCCCTGAAGCTGGTTTGAAATCAACATTTCTCCCTCTTAAGGAAAATATTCTAGAAATTTCTGGAATGTCTTAGTATTCCCTATTTCACTGAGAATGATGACCTAATCAATTCAGAAAAAAAAAGTATCCTAAAATTTCACAGCTCTCCAAATATAAATACCCAGCACTGCACCTTCAGAGAAAATGGCTCCTTTGTATGGAAAAGACCCCTCTGCCCTGTGCCTGCCACATGGGAAGTACAAGTGCACATATATTGCTTTAGAAGTGAAAATGTCAACAATACCTAATATCACAGAAAGCTTTCTAGTTTTTTGTTTTTTTTTTCCAATTAAGTTTATTGGTATGTTCTAGGTGTATACATGACAATCACCTTCACTATAGGGAATTTGTACCTGTACATGATATATCTTGCTTCATCTTTTTTCCCTATTCCCCTGCTCTCCCTTCAACTTTCTTCCCCTCCTAATTTACAGAAAACTGTTTCCATTTTTTCCTTCTTTTCTCATCATGTTTTAATTTTTTTTCCTTCATTCCTTTCTCCCTCCCCATCCCTAGTTCTCCTACCTGTTTAAACAACACATTTTGATCCTTATTTACACTTCCAGTTTCTCATACCAGAGGAATAATACAGTATCTACACATGTTCATTTGCTGCTTTTAAACTGCAACTGAATCGGGGAAGAATCTCAATATTCTGAGTGGCTGACGCAAAGAGATCTTAAGGTGGAGTCCAACCTGACAAATGCTGTGACTTAGTAAGTTCACACTGTCACTCAGTGAGTATCTGACAAACATGTCAGAGGACGTAATTCAATGTGAAGATGCAGGGTTCAAGACCTGGTACCACAAACATAAAATATTTTTGTTTTTGTTTTTTAATTTTATTTAAAGAAAGACTCAATGAAACAGAAAATAGGTAGAAATAATGCATACGTTCAGAGAAAAAAATAAACAGTAAGAAATCACTAGTTGATGTTTACATATTGTCGTTTTACAAATAGTTTTTCAAGATACAAAAGTGGAACATATAAAGTGGGAATTCAAACAACGAGACTGCAAACAGGTCTGTTCAACTGTCCAACAGAAACTTAGTAACATGGTTGTCAATCCTATACACTTAAACATACATGCAGTTATCCATATCTTCATTTATGTTTAAACAAACTAAAGCAGGTTAAAAATCATTCTGAACAAAGAATAATAGTATTGCTGGAACAAACATAAAATATTAATACAGTAGTTAAGATACATTAGAGATTAGACAAGAGGACATATAGAAAGATGTTGGGGTCTGTGCCTAGATACCCAAACAAGTGCACGGCGAAAGCCCAAATGAATGAGACAAGCGGTATGATCTTCAGAGCTCCAGGAGGACCAAAATCCTCTGTAGAGTTTGTAACGCTGATTGCTGAGACAGACTGCTTCTGGGTGGCCCATATTTATTCAAAACAAGGAAGGAGTTGAGTGGAAAATGCAGGAAACCTGAGCAGGACCTTGGGAGGGGTTCAAGGACCCTCGGAGCAACAGATGATGCTAATCAAGAATAACTATCCTAGCAGAAAGTCTCCAGGTGGCCTCAGCTGTGGCCTATCTTGCCCCCCAGACGTCTTCTTGTTCTCAGTTCAGCCATGCCCAGGGCCATGCCGCAGCCCGGCGTGTGTATTCAACTTCAAGGGCTCCAACATATTCCTCCTTTTTGTTTCACTGTTCCCTGAGACAGGTGACCAGCTGAAGCTGGAGAAGTTGTGTTAGGAGAAATCCCACAATTGAAACCCAGTACAGTCCATCAGTCTATAACAGTAGTCAGTTACCAGTGTAGCCAGCAATTGTCAGAAGGTGTTAGTGATTTGAGCTTTTACAGCTAACATTTCACTATGGCATTACACTACACCTTCTGAAATTATACTTTTCTGCAAGAGGTTCAAGACCCAGTTAAGCTAAGACCCGCATTTCTTGCTTTCTATCAAGGTCAGTTAAATCGTCTCAGGAATTACCTTAGAACCATGCATAGCACCTCTTGGCTCCTCTATCAGTGTCAGCCATCTGGATGAGTCGTGGCCATTGCTTGACCAAGTTGCTTTCTATCAAAGCTTGGGAGATTTTTTTTCTCCTGGTGACTCTCCTTAGGCACACCATACATCGAAGATCACTTTCCTCTGTGGTCTCATAATCTTCTTGATCAGAAGACTGGGGACTCACTGAGTATCTTAGGATGGTGCAAGCAGAGGTTCTTTAATGTCCTGGGTCCCCACTGACCTTGAAGGGCTGGGGCCAAAATACTGGCTATCCTTTTAGCCCATCTGTATATCTAATTTTTGGTCTCTAAACATCAGTTTCTGAACATCCAGAAGAAAAGATTAATAACAATACAGTATATTAGAGGCAGTAAGCTTAACATTACTAATTTATCTAAATATGAAGCACCTTAGAACATTAAATGAAACCTATTTTCTACTATCCATGGACACTTTTAACATTTGAATACCTACAGAGTGTTAACAGCTACACTTTTTACACAGCAAATCAGAAATCAAAACTGTATATACCATTGTATCATGACAATTATGACATTTTTGTAACAATGCAAATTATAATTTTGACATAAAATATCCCTTTTAGTCAATCATCCCTATCTAATACATAAGAAGCTTCTCTCCAATTTATTGACCTTTAGTAGAATGTGAATCTCACAAGTCTTTGGTACCAGCAGAACCAGCTTCAGGTCTGAACATGAAAAAAGTCTATTACCATATATAATCCCCATTTTACAATTTGGAAAATCAGTATATCTGGAAGCATGAATACATTAATATACCAGGTTAGTAACAATTGTCATAGCTACATGAAAACCCTTATATCAGAGCATCTTTAAATAAGAACCTTATTGTCTAGAAAATTTAATCTTTTAACAATGACCAATGTGAGTGCATCACAACAATATATTTTAAAGAAAATTTATTGAGGTGTCTCCCAAAAGGCTATGGAGACTATTGGGGCCTCCAATCAATAAACATGAACTGGTTAAAAATGTTTCCAGGCAGCTGCTTTCTTATTTATCAATTGGAGTCCCGTCTAACAATCTAAGGGATTTTGTTTACCCATCTTAATTTTTTTGATCTTATGAAAAACCCAAACATAATATTTAACCCATTATTTTTTTAAATACACTCTCAAGTCCACAATAAACAACAATATATATCACACTTACACATCCAGTCTTTACATCATTTGGGCCAGCTGGCAACCAAGGTAGAAGCATGTTTTGTAAATTCACAACTCAATCAAACCTTTGATCAAATGATCCAAAAATGCAAAAAAAAAAAAAAAAAAAAAGGAAAAAAGAGAAATTGCTGAACACAAAATAAAAGGAACAGCTGTTTATAGAGTAAACAAATAGACAAACATGGACAGATGATCTGATAGATGATCTGTGCAGATTCAGACAAACACAGAAATAAGCACACAGCCCATCAGGATCCTTGAGAACTCTCCAGGTTCCCTAGGGCCCATTTATATACTCATACCACACCCCTTTGATAAACTAGCTCACCTCCTACACCCCGTGCTCTCAGTGCTTGAACACCTGTTCACCTCCAGCACCCCATGCCCTCAGGGCGTTTCCCAGGTACTCTGTGCCTCATGGGCACTCTTGTACAGATACTTGTGCTTTTTACTCTACACATGTGAACAATCACTAGCTCACAACTGCTCACAAACAGACTGGACAAACAATACACAGACAGACTGACAAACATCCTACAATATCAGAGTGCACTCAAACACATCCTTAATCAAATTGAATTACAATAATTTCTTGCAAATTTAGAATGTATAACTAAAAATTGACCAGTCAGATTTGTGACAGGCCAGTTAGCAGGAGGTCTCATATAAAAGGATCTTGGAAAGGACTGTAGGGGTTCTGCAAGCAAAGGGGAAATAAAGCAGTAACTAGAACAATTTCAAGTACTGTTGGGAAGGTAAAGACATTGGGTAATGTGAAATAAACCACAGCCAGGTGAGTGGGGCAAATGCAACCATTAGTTGGAATTTAGGGCACTGAGCAAGAAAGCTACAAGCCCCACTTCCTGCTAAGTGGCTGCAGTGGGTGAGCCAGGAGGAGAACCAGTCAGCATCTCCTGTGAGCCTACGGAGCACAGGCTGAGAATTAAACATCCCATCCCCCGCATTAGCAACTGGAGGCCAGCAGTCTTAGCATCTCCGCGGAGGATGACCGTATGCAGTATAGCAAATATGGGGGATCTCCTCCTATCTCTTTGAAGGCCAGTGTTGTTTTCACTGTTTTGCTTTATCCTGACTGTTTTTGCTCTATTCAATATTCTGTTTTGATAGGTTTTATAAGGTTCTGTTTTTGGTTTGATTTTGCTATATCTGATTGAATGGAAAACTATTGTGAAGATAATGAGATATACTATGATACCTATTACTGTTATCCTGGCATCCTGCTTTGAAGCTCTGTACCAATTTCACTGCACTGTCCCGACTGGCTTTGTCTTGTTCTGTTGCATCTGACTATCTTCAAAAAACAAAACAAAACAAAACAAAACAAAAAACGCAACCATTCAACAACAAATACCTGGTTGCTCTGGATGGCAACAAGAGCTGCTGTGAGCAAAGGGGCTGAAAAATGAGTAAGGAGAGAGGGCAGCCCTTTGGGACTTGATCCACCGTAACTGCAGTGAGTGTGTGAGCAATGCTCTGAAGGGCCTGCTGTAGAGAAGGAGAGTCAGAGATCACATCAGTAGGATCTGCGTGACCCCATAAAGCATTGAATAGAGGAGCTATAACCTGAAAAGGAAATGTGGTCAATAGCTAAAGAGAGGGTAGGGCATCCATCTCCCAGGGGAATAGCAGCAGCCACCACAGGAGAGCCGGATCCTTGATTTCCACAAGTAACATCCCGAGTTTTAGAGGAGACCTAAGGCAAGACAGTTAGTTGGGCCTCAGATTCTAGTTGAATGGGTAAGACAGACCACAATTGAAGCAACAATTTTCCAGTCTAATCAACATCAAGAGCACAGGGAATCACAAAAATGCCTCTTTTTGATGCATGTGAGCAGGGAAAAAGTAGGTCTGTTGTCCTGGGAAGTAAAGGACTATGAAAAGCAGTAGGAACTTTATTTCCAATTGGAAATTCCAAGTTCCCTAGGGTTCATTTATGTACTCATACCATGCTCCTTTGATAAACTAGCTCACCTCCTGTACCACATGCTCTCAGTGCTGGAACACCTGTTCACCTCCAGCACCCCATTCCAAATTGATTTCCAAGTTGATAGGTTCATCCAACAATATATCTATACCAGAGCACCCCTTGGTGGCATGAGCGGATTGTTAGAAGAAGTGATGTGAAGGGAGTTCCCTGTTGTTCCTGGGCTGGGAATGCGCCTGCCATCTGGTTTCCTAATGATTGGCTTTGTTTATTATTATTATTATTATTATTATTATTGTTATTATTATTATTATTTTGAGAGTTTTGACTACATTGGCTGGCCCAATGATTCCCATTTTTGCAGATAGGACACCGGATACCTGGTCTGTTATTTTTAGGTTTTGCCTTACAATCTTTGTGTACATGTCTGGGTTTTCCACAATTAAAACAAGTCACAAGAGGCCATAAAGCAGCAGCCAACAATTGCATTTTATGTGCTTGAGTCCCTATATATTGGCAAGCTGAAATCATTTGAGCCAAGGTAGTAGCAGGTTTCACATAAACATCTTTTAAAGCATTTCTGAAGTCTTGGTTTGCATTTTCACATGCCAACTGCTTTAAAATAGAGGCTGCTGCTATGTCCAGCTGCCATTCAATAGCTTTATTTAATCTTCCTATAAAGGTAAGGAAAGATTCAGTGGCCTCCTGTTTAATAGTACTAAAGGAACCTTGAGCATCAGTTGCTTCAGGGATTCTTTTCCAAGCTTTTAAAGCAATTTGAGCCATTTGAAGATAACCTTAGGGACAACATGGCCTGCATCCACAGGGAGAAAAAGCAGCCCTACCCCATGTTTCTGCTGCATTTCAGACAGGGAATTCCCCATAACTTACCTGGGGATTTTCCGAAGAAAATGAAGTAGATGCTCATCAGGGGCCATGTTCCACCCCAAGAGCACAGCAGATGTCTCCACTGTCAAGTCCCTGTTCAGGAACCAGCTGTTGAGGTCTGGGCCTAGATCCCCAATCCCCCAAACAACTGCATGGCTAAGGCACAAATGAATGGGACAAGCAGTATGATCTTTAGGGCTCCAGGAAGACCAAAATCCTCTGCAAAGCTCATAACCTTGATAGCTCAGACAGACAGACTGTCTCTGGGTGGCCCATATTTATTCAAAACAAGGAAGGAGTTGAGTGGAAAAGGCAGGAAACCTGAGCAGGACCTTGGGAAGGGTTCAAGGACCCCTCAGAGCAACAGACAATGCTAATCAAGGAAAAGTATTCTAGAAGAAAGTCTCCAGGTGGCCTCAGCTATGACCTAGCTTGCTCCCTGAGGCATCTTCCTATCCTCAGTTCAGCCATGCCTGGGCCAGGCTACATCCCTGCACCTGAATTCAGCTTCAACAGAAAGATACCTCTATCTTTTAGATATCTAAAAGATATCTATCTTTTAGATAGATAAAAAATAAGTAAGTGGCCATTTATTTACTATGAAGAAAAAGATAGCCACATGTTTGTTCTTCTGATAAGGGGTGAGGAGACTCAGGTTGTAGAACCCCAAGGCATGACCCTACTTCCTTGGCAACATTCCCAAACAGAACCCTAGGAGTTTTTGTTAAACACCATCACACTCCAGTAAGAGTCAGCTCCCGAGCTCACTTGGCCAGAGACCGTCAACAGCAAGCTGCAGCCATGAGACCTCAGACAAAGAAACACTATGTGAAAACAATTTGAGCCATTTGAAGATAACCTTAGGGACAACATGGTACAGACAACTGATTCCATCCAGAAACTGCAGCAACCACCCAATTGTCACAGACACCCTAGGAAGGTCTCCACAGGACTAAGCAACAGTGAGCTACCAAAAGCAAGGTACTAACACAAAAATCTCCCTCAGCTCAGAAACTGGAAAGACTCCAAAGGCAAGTTTCACCAGGCCTAGAAGATCTCCCCAGGGACAGATAGAGAGCCTACAGAATCAGAGTAGTCCAGGGTGAGAGACTAAAGTCATAGCCACAGGCCCCAAAAGATACTGAGAAGCCTCATATAACCAGCCAGGCCCAGGCCCAGAAATAACTTGGTAGTGACTATGTCAAAGTCCAATCTATATGGTCAGTACAGGCAGTCAGGCCACTGCTGAGCACCCTCTGTGCCAGTTCTCCTGAGAAGAAGTGCATCCCATCTATGGTCTCTTCTTCCCCAGCACCTCCATGATCTACATCTCCACCCAAAAGACCCTGATTATGGGAAGAGACAACATGATAACAAGTTTTGAGACTTTCCTCTCCTTTAAGGGCCTTGGCAACGAAGTTTGAGATGTGTGCTCTTTTGACAATGAATAGCTTTTCCGCATGAAATTGGTAGATGAAAAAAGAGACCTGTGTAGAGTATCAGCTCCACTGAAGTTAAAAGAAGCCTACAGGCTTTCTGAGCTAAACAAGGATAATGAACTCTTTTTGGGGTTCTTTGTTTTTGTTTCTTTGTTCTGTTTTGTTTTTGGTACTGGGAATCAAACTCAGGACCTCATGCTTGCCAGGAAGGATAAACAACTCTTAATTCATGCACTGCATTGTATACCAGAGCATTGTGAAATGCCTTGTTCAAAAGATAAATGCAGCTACTACAGAGGTGCATGCCTCTGGAGAAAGCTTTATTGTGCAAATGGCCATACTTTTCAAGCCGAATGTTTCAACAGGCATTCTCACTTTGCCATAGGCACAGACGGTATAAGGGGATTTGGAAACCAGGTAACACAAGTGTTTCAACTGGAAAGTCTTTGTTCTTAGGCCACAGACTTGCCACAGTTGAATGAGGGCAACATTCTTTGCCACCAGAACCCATGATGCCAATGGCTTCAGACCATGCAGACGGTCATTTCATATGAGCCTTCAAGTCATGAGGGTTTGGGACAAATTGATGAAGAGAATGAGGCAGGGAACACCAGGGAAAGTAGCAAAGCTTTATCCTGTTTAGTTCTTCAAGACTTGTTTGCTCTAGGTAACAGGAAGAGGAAGTTACACAAATTACCGTTGGTTCAATTTTTAAAAATTATATTTACGCAATAAAAGTTGTGAAAAGAGCTTGTCTATATTGATCAGGTACAGAGAAGCATGTTTTGGAGCAGGCATCAAATCCTTTTCTTGTTGAACTGCATTCATGTTTTTAGACAGAAAGCAGACTATTCTTCATTCTAGACTATACAAATAGAGAAGATCTAATGTGTTACATACAAAAAATACTTCCTGGAAAACATGCCAGATTTTACTCTGCAGAAGTCAGTTTGGCACTCAATTATCTTCATGAGAGAGGAATACTTTATAAACTTTGAAACTGGACCATTTATTACTGGACTCAGAAGTGCATGTTAAGCTCATTGACTGTCCTGTGGGTGAGGAAAGATTACGGCCAGGAGACAGGATGAGCGCTTTCTGTGGCACTCAAAATACTTAGTTTCAGAAGTTAAGAGGGAGGTAACAGTCTCAGTGCTGACTAGTGGAGTCTTGGAGTACTAATGTTTGAGATGTTGGTCAGAAAATCTCCATTTCATCTTGCTGAGAGCTTTGCTAACCCTTATGAAAACTCAATCAAATAGCTCTTGAAAATTGTTTTGGAAAGAAAAATTCACATCCCACATTTTCTATCTGTAAAAGCTCCAAGCGTCCTAGAGAGCTTTCTGAACAGGGACCTACAGGAACGACTAGGCTGTCATCCTCAAACAGGATCTGCCAACATCCATACTCAGCGTTGGCTGAGATACAGTGGGATAGCTCTCTTTAGACCAAATATTTCTGAGGAATTTGGTTTGGACAACTCTGATCCTCAGTTTACTAATGAACCAATCTGGCTCCCTCCTGGTGATAATGACATGGTAAGGGACACTGATCAATATGAATTTGCAGGTGCTGAGTATATCAATCATCTTTTGAAGGATGAAGAAGAAAGTGTCTGATCCTCATTTTCCAACTAAGCATTCTGCTTATGTTGCCATTTAATACCTGGGAAAATTTGTTACCAGCCTGGATAGAATTAACCATTTCATAATTGTCTAATTTTAATTATTTTAGGCTCTTTTTTTTGAAGTTATATTTAAATGTAGCAATTAGTTCTTATAGTCTACAATAGAGGATGCTACTGTAACATTCTCTATTGTTCTGTAGATAGAATTGCTTTTTGTCATTTGACTTAAATAAGAAGGAGGCATTCACTTGGTGGCCAAGCTTGTAAACACATTCTTCCATTTATTAAGTGGAGACAGAATGTGTAATATTTTTTTTGTTATTCACTCTGTGGGAAAATAATTTGTCATTTAAGTAGAAAGTCTTAACTATGCTTGTTTGTCTCCATACATTACCTGTCCTTTTAAGTCCCAATTTATGTAGTCTTCAGGGGAACCCAAAAATTAGTAAGCATTTTGAATAAATCTACAGCAAACACATATGTTATAATTCTACCTCCTCAGTTAAATTTTTTCTTTAGTAACACATGAAATAGATAATAGGGGCCATTTGCAGACTGTGGAAGAGAAAGTCATTCCTCACCAGGAGGTGATCCCCACCTGGAAATCAGCACCTTGCACGGGCCACTGCCAGAGAGCAGGGACAGCCAGACCCAAGCCCTTCTCCATAAGTCAGCACCATTTGCGGACCCCAGAGGGAGAGAACCAGGTCTTACTAGGTGATCCCTGCCTGAAAATCAGCACTATGCATGAGCCTCTGCTGGATTGGGACAGCCAGGCCCAAGCCTTTCTCCATGAGTCAGTGCCATTTGCCCACTGTTGGGGGAGAGAACCAGGCCTCACTCACGGGTGATCCCTGCCTAGAAATCAGCGCCATGCATGGGCCACTGCTGGAGTGGGGACAGCCAGACCCAAGCCTCTCTCCGTGAGTCAGCACCATTTGCAGACTGTGGGGAGAGAGAACCAGGTCTTAGTAGGAGGTGATCCCTGCCTGGAAACCATATCATTTTCATTGTATTTTTGGGTTGGGTTTTATTCTCTTTTGTTTTATTGGATTATGTTAAATTTGATGGCATGTGCAGCTATTTAAAAGATAGCAAGACACATTATGGTAGCTATTTTGGTTTATTATTGGCTTCGAAGTTCCTTATTGCATTCATTGTTTTGTTTTTATTATTTCTATTCCATTGTATTGTGCTTGATTTTTACTATGTCTGAAAGTATCTGTAGCTATTTTGAAGACAACAAGACATCATGGTAACTATTGTTGACTTCATAAGGTTTTGAAGTCCTGTGTCACTTATACTGGTTTATTTTGATTGGTTTTATTCTGTTTTATGTTCCTTGGTTTTATCCTTTAAAAAAAAAAAAAGAAGAAAAGGCAGTAGGATTTATTTTAGGGGTAGAGTTCTTCAGACTTTTATTAAAATTAATTGTTAGCAATCCATTTACATAGTTGCCAGATACAGCATTATCTGTTTATTTTAGCACCATCTTTATGCAAAGGATTTGAAAAGTTAACTGTGATTATCTAAGTAAGTCACAATAGCACAATCTCAGTAAGATTAATTTTAGGGATGCTATCTAGGTTTAAATTTAGAATGATTTAAAATGTGTGAGCATTTAAGAAATTATCCTTTTATCTTGTTTCAGGTGCTCCATTTCACTAGAAATACAAGTTTCCCAAGACTTGTCATCCTATGTTGTCTTTTTTTCAAATAACTTAATTTGAAAGTAGTGGAAACCTCAAAAGAAAATGTTTACATACATTCACATGTTTGTATGTGAGGTCTAAATGCTTCTCTTAATGCCTGGGACTTGTTTTAAAATGAAAAGCGATATTCACATCATAAACTTACAGAGAATTCTGACATGGCAGAAATATATTTATATTCATGACCATTCTTTTAAGTGTTGCCCTTTCCTATGGGGCATTTCAGTATGTACAAAAATCACATAGGGAGTTTAGTTGTGATTTTTACTACTGGGCCCACATTAGAATTCTTTCAGGCCTTTGGACCTCACTTTGAGAAAAGAATAGAAGCTGTACTCATGGTAAAATATTTCAAGATGGTATAAGCAGCCAGATCCAACTTCATGAACATTTTTGAATGGATCTTAAATGAATGACTTCATTAGATATGTTCCCTGTTCCCCTCAACAAGTCTTAAAAGTTTTCTACCAATGATATACAAATGACAAGCATTTTTCTTTGATGAGGTTTTAACCTTCATTCAGGGTGATCTTACGTTTTTAAATTTTTTTCAGTAGTAAGATTTGCAGTGTATATGTTAGGCAGAATTGCATTACAAATACATTTGTAACTGCATTCTATTTTTTGCAGTCTTTAAGTGTCATACCAGTTTTTCTTATTATATAGAAGTTCTCTCAAAATGCTCACCAGCGGGATAAAGCCCTTTGCAGTCAGAATGGTTGGCATTTTGGGGTTCTAGGAACTAATTTATTATAAAGTCTGTGGTCAGATCATTTTATGCATGTGAAGCCTGGATTAAATATCTACTACTGTACTTGTTCTGTGCTAGTACATTTACTTTATAAATTAATTTTGTCTTGATTTTTCTCATGTAGCATGCTGCTTGGTCATCATAATATAGTTCTTGTTTCTGTGACTTCTTTTGATGTTAAAAATCTTAAGCATAAACTATAGATAGATAGATAGATAGATAGATAGATAGATAGATAGAAAGCCCCTGCAAGTCTCATGTGCTTGGAGACAGGCCCTGAGCAGAGGAGTTGGCTCACCTGGTGTGTGACCCAAAAGGCTGTATTCTTGTCCCTGCCCCCACACTTTTCTTCGATGCTGTCAATATGTAGCTTCCCTCCACCATGCCCTCCTATCATGCTTATCCTGCCTTGGAGCCAGCCAGTTGTGGATCGAACTATAAGCCAAATTAAACAAACCCTCCTTTACATTGTAGGTGCTGGGTATTGGGTCCAGTGATATAAAAGATAACTGATACAGAAAATTACTCCAAGAGAAGTGGGGTTGTTACTGTCACTACTGGTTGTATCTTAGCTGTGATTCAGAAGGCTTTGAAACTGACTTGCAAGGAGAATTTGAAAAGATTTGTAGCTGGAGGTGACAGTGCATGTCTATAACCCCAGCACTCAGGAGACAGGCAGGGGAGCCCTGTGATTGTGAGCTAGTCTGGGCTATAGTGAATTCAAGGCCAGCCTGACCTACATAGTGAGACCCTGTCTCAAAAAAAAAAAAAAAAAAAAAAAAGGAAGAAAGAAAAAAGGAAAGATTTGGAGATGCAGACTAGAGAAACCCTAGAATTCTGTGAGAGAACCTGATGGGCCCTTCTGGTCAGAAGATCAGGATACTGATGGGAATTTGAATACTAAAGACCAGGCATGCAGTGTTCTGATGCAAATTAGGATTGTATTGGAAATTGGACTGCAGATTATGTGTGTTTATTTCTGGCAAAGAACTTGTCTACATTTTGCCCATCTCTTATAACTGTGCGTGAGGCTGAATTTAAAGAGAGGTAGAGTAACTGATCCGGGGGAGGAAATTTCAATGCAGCCCAGCATTCACACTGCCAGCTGTGCTTAATTATATTGAGAATCAGGAGCAAAAAGTGGAATTTAAAAATTTCATAGCTTGGCCAGAAAGGAAGGGTATATAAAGTTGAGTCCAAGGAGAATATGGTTGCTGAAAGGATTAACATGAAAAAGCCTAGAACTTTGCACAAGAACTTTGCTTTGTAGGAAATATGCCTTCAGTGCATCTTAGGAAATGACTGAAAGATCCCACCCAGCAAAACCTCAGGAAGGTAAAAGACTAAATTCATTTGAAAGACTATTCAAGAAGAAAGCTCCAAAGTTCCCACTTCATTCAGAGTCACCTAGGGAAGTATCTCCCTGAGTTGAGCCATCCAGGCACTCAGAGGCCACCGCAGCCATGGTCCAAAAGGCCCAGGCTCCTGCTCAGACCACAGCAGATTTTGACATCATCCATGTGGTGCTGATTTCCCACACATGGCAAATGCAAGAGTTTCAGGATCAAGGATACAACCACTCAGATTTCAGAATGCTTAGAAGACCAGGCAAAAATGTATGACAGGGTCACAGCCAGCACGAGGAGCCACTAAGATGACAATGGGAGAAGCTGTGAAAAGTGAACCTGAAGGTAAAGTGGAGACCTCAGGACACCGCAAATGCCATGAATTTGGAACATCTGCTGAGGAAAAGTACAGGCCGTGAGCAGAGCCAGCCCGAGAGAGGCCATGGGGGCTACAACTAGCAAGGCCATGGAGCAGGGCTGCCCAAGCCCCTTGGAGTTCACATCTCACCACAACTTGCCTTAGGTGATGGACCTAGAATTACAGGACTTAAGTGTTTGCCCTACTGAGTTCTGATCTGGTGTTGGTCCTACTCCTTTGTATGCCATTATTGCACCCTTTTCAAACTTGAATGTCTACCCTCTGCCATTGTATGCCAGAAGTGTTTCACTGTCTTTCTTATTTTTATAGGCTCACAGCTAAGACATTGCCATAAGTCTCAAAGGAGACTTTGGATTTAGACTTTTGAACAACAGTGACACGTTTAAGACTCTGGCAATCCTTAGAGATGGACTAAATGCATTTTTCATAATGAGATGGGCATAATCCTTTTGCAAGGGTCAAAGATGGAATGTTAGGGTTTAGATCTATCACGTCTCCCTACAAGTCTCATGTGCTTAAAGGTGGTGCTCAGTCAGAGAGGAAAGATTACTGGGTACATATCCTGGAAGACTGTATTCTTGTCCCTGGCTCCTGCCTTCTCTCTGTGCTTCCTGGTTGCCATGAGGTGAGCAACTTTCTTCCTCCATCATTTCTCCCTTAGTTAGAGTGAGTCTACAGTGGATTGAACTGTGAGCCACATCAAATATCTTTTCCTTTAAGCTATTAGGGGTCAGCTACTATGTCCAGCAACAAGAAAGCCAACTCATACAATCTGCATTCAGTGACATCACACTGATACCATGGAAATCAGTCACTGTTTGGGTGTTTACACCACAGACATAGGCAAGAACCACAGACCGGTTCTTCATTTTCTCAGAGAACTCATTCTTACACATTTGCCAGCACATCTGTCTCTCACCCAAAGTGTCCTAGTGGCTGTCGCTCCAGCTCTGACCATGTGCCCAAATCATTTGGATAAGTCACTGGCTATCCCTGGACATACTTTTCTGCAGCTATAAACTGGGAAAGCTCAGCTCGCTTCTTTTGAAGTTACATTGCATTTCTGACAGTTTTAGTCCCTGGGAGGAATGTGTGTGTGCACGCACATATATGTGTGTGTGTACCCACATGTGGATGCTCAAGTTTAAATTTTCTTTCCCTGCATCAGAAATCATAAATGCAGGCATTGGCTATAAACCCCAGCATGATTTGGTGAGCTGTACCTCTTCACTTGGGCTATTAAATCATTTCCCCTCCAAAGGTACACATGCTGTGGCATAAGGAGCAAACTGTTGACAGATGGTGGGGAAACTTCACAGGCCCATAATTGAGCCTTATTTTCATACATTCGTGCCAGTTTGAAATCTAATTGCCAATAAAACAATACCGTGATACTGCCACATCTAATACCTCCGCCACTCTCCAAAGTTACACTTGAATCCACTAGTAAATTCTAATCTCCCAGAGAAAAATATTTCCCTCTCTCTGTCAGAAAAGCAATGCCATAAATCCATGTACAGTGGTTCATTTTCAAATGCAAACCTCCTTTCTCCAGTCCCCAAAGAGCCCTTACTTGGCTAATGTTAGTGCCTGCCTGAGAGCAGTAGAAATTCTTTGTTTACTCGACAGAAGTCCAGATGTGGTTGGTGAGCTGGTGATGGGGTCTTTTGCAGGGAAATGTGAAAGGTTGCTCTGGACCAGGGTACCCACCTGCCTTCCTGAGTGACCCAGGGCTCTGCTTTGACGTTGTTTCGTCCCAGTCACTGGAAGATGACCAGCGCCCCAGCACCACCCACTGATGGAGGGAGTGTGGAGGTGCCCCAGCCTTCCCTTCCTGCTTCTCTGTTTTCACTTGCCTGATGAAAAGGTCTGAGGATAGATCGATCCAGATCAATTTGAAGCTGTAAATAAAAAATGAGCTTTCAGTGGGATGCAGGCACGCAGGGGCTGGGTTTGTTGGTGTGGACTGAAAAATGTACCTTGTCACCTCAAACCACAAGCCTGCTAAAAGCAGTTATAACCATCCTTCCCCAGGCAGAGTCTCGGCCAGTCTACGAGAAGTAGTTATAATAGAGACTGGAATCCATGCCCAGCCCAGAAATACCTCGGTAGCTACAGCAAATATGAACCTTACTGTGTTCCATGCATGAGCAAATCTGCCAAAATGAAACCTATTCATCCATATAACCAATTAAGAAAAGAGTGGGGAGAAATCATTCTTGCCTATACCATTATTACATAGACCCTGGCAGTGAGTTATTACTTTTCCATTTTACAGATAATAAACTGAGGCTCAGATACATGATGATTCGCAGAAGTGGGATTTAAAATCAGATTAACTGATTTATTTCCAAGTCGAAGTCTTTCAGTACTAGAATGAAGTGAGATCATGCTATGGGAGCTTTAGAGGGTTGAGTCCCCTCCTTCCTACCCCAGCCCCCTTCCTTTGTGGCCTTAGCCCTTCCACTCTAGACTGCACACACAAAGAGCCTTGAAAAGTTGGAAGGAAGTTACCATGGTTTCCTGGAGGCTTCTCTTTTTATGAAAAATACACAATACTGTGTATTTTTACACAATCCCCCACCTCACGGCCTGAAATCTAGACCAAGGCTTCTCAAACAGAAGCCAGCACAGGGATCATGTGAGGAATCTGGTGAAATATGAATTTTGACTCAAGAGAATTACGTGGGGCCCAGGGTTCTGCAGTCCTAATCAGCTCACAGGAGATGCAGATGCTATTTGTCCAGAAACTATACTTCGAGAGGCAAAGGCACAGGCCTGCACTATCCAACATGACGACCACTTGCTGCATGGGGAAGGGAGCAGGACTAGGGATTCACACACCAGGAAAGCACTCAGCTACAACCCTGACTTTTTTTAAGAGACAGTCTCACTAAATTGCCCAGCCTAACTTCAGACTTACAATCCTTCTGCCCTAGCCTCCAAAGAGTTTGGATTACAGGTGTGTGCCACTACACATGGCTGAAACAAAATTTTATTGAGTTGAATTTTAATTATTTTAAGATATAAGAAACTAAAACAGTATAAAATATTTTCCCACAAAATGCAAGTTACTGTTTCAGGAAAACTATATTTCAATTTAACTGTTCAAAATTTAGCATCTCTACCAGGACGTGCTGGAAGAATAAAACACACACTAGATCTCAAAGATTTAGAGCTTAGTAAAATAGTGATCACAGAAAGTTTGGAAAATGGGTACCAAAATACAGTGACCTAAGGAATAAGGGCTAGTGTTTTATAGCATAATAGGGTGAATACAGTTCACAATTTATTATATATTTGATAAAGAACTGGAAGAGAAGAGTTCAAAGTTTCCCAATACAAGGAAATTACAAATGTTTAAGGAGATGAAAATGCTGATTACCTTATTTGGTCATTATACATTGTATGCATGTATCAAATTATCACACTATATTACACACATATTGTAGTCATCGTTTGCAAGGAAAACAATTTAATACAGGACACATAATTTATAGAATTATTTTATAATAATCACCCAAATAGCCAAACACAAAAAAGTGCTGGAGCTGGGGGTTTGGCTCACTGACATAAGCACTTGCCTGCAAGCGTGAGGTCATGAGTTCGATCCCCGGTACAAAAAAGTACAGGAAATCTGTCTACACACTTAAGACCAAAAGAATCCAGCTGAGGGCCTGGATCTTATGGCAATGTCCTCCATGAGCAGTTGAAGACCTAGAGCCCATGACAATGCCCCCCACAAGTCCAACTGGAGGCCTAGAGCCCAGAACAATGTCGCATGCAAGTTTATTTCATGAATCTGCACTGGAAGGCCCAAAGGTCAACGGTGGAAGCTAGAAAGTGTGTGCCAGCAGGCTGAGGGATCTGCACTGGAGCCAGGAAGCAAAGCTCAAGGTAAGGACCAGAGCTCCCCTAAAGTGAACCGCAGCCACCCTTAGGCATAGACCCGAGCTCCTCTGAGGCTAACAGCCAAGTTCATATCAGGAAAGAAACTCGACAGGCTCCTCTAGGAGAACCAATGGCAACAGGAGAACCAACACCCCCACAACTTCTCCAGGTCTCCTTTTTATGCTGTTGGCAACAGTCCTCAGGTGGGCCCTCCACACCCAGCACCATACTGACTCAGTTCAGCTGAGTGTTACACGCTGACCACCAGTTGACAATCTACCACCCCTATGTATAACTGAATGTAGATCTTTGTTTCCCTTTTTTTTTTAAATCTTTTTTATGGTACTAGGGATTGAGAGTAGGACCTTGCACATTTGAAGGAAGCATTCTGTCACTGAGCTATTCTCCTAGCCCTGTATTAGATTTTTTAAAAGTCTTAGTACTTGGGGGGGGCAGAGAATGTAATGTCTTGTTAATAATGTGTTTATATTTTGATTACATGTTGAGGTCATAATGTTTTGGGTATGTTGACTTTGCTAAAGAATATTATTGGTGACTGGAAAATTTTAAATTATATATGTATTATTATATTGTAAAATATATATTTGTGTTCTGTCTTGTATGCTGACCCACCCTCACACTGTAGGGTGTACTACTTTTCCGACAGTTATTTGGCCCAAACTTGTTCTGCAAAGGCTGTTTCTTTTCAACCTTTAATAAAACTTCACTACCATTTATATACACACACACACACACACACACACACACACACACATGTACTTTTGTCCTTTGATCTTGTTTCCCAGCATACACTCCTAAATTCTTAGAATCTCCAAAGTGGTGTCTTTAGTGTGCTAAAAGGTGACATGGCTGGCAGTCATGGGTGGCTCCAGGATGGCGGCTGGTCACCTGAACAAACTAGGCAAGATTAGAGGACTGGATCTTTCAGCCCCATTCCTAACCTCCAAGGAGAAGAGAAGGACTGACGTTTACAGTGGTCATCGATGGCCAGTCATTCCTATGTAATGCAGCCTCCATGAAAACCCAAAGGACAGGATTTGGACAGCTTTCAAAGACCAGAACATATGAAGCGTCCTGGAAGGCAAATCACCTGAGAGCACGGAAGCGCCAATCGTCCCCAACACCTTGCCCTATCCATCTAAATTGGTCCATTTTCTGTTACCATACAAAATACCTGAGCTGAGTGTTTTATGAAGGAAGCAGACTTAGTTCACAGTTTTGGGAGCTGGAAGTTCAAACAGCATGTCACGTGTGTGTGTGTGTGTGTGTGTGTGTGTGTAAATTTGTTGTGTTATGTGTTTGTGTGTATGCTGATCTCTTTCCCTCTTCTTGTAAAATCCCAGGACTCCATCCAATAACCTTACCTAATCCTAATCACCTCCAAAGACCCCACCATTGAACACGAGAGTCAAATTAATTTTCCACCCTTTTCCTATCTCACAGTGAGTGCTAAAAACCAATTTGAGTTACCGCCTCTTCACTAGTGCTCATTATCAATTTCATTTGTAACATCCTGTATAATAAATCAGTAAGTGGAAGTAGATATTTCTCTGGGTTCTGTGAGCCATGCTAGCATATTAATCAAATCTGAGCTGGGGGTGTGCACACCCTGATTTATACATGATCAGCCAGAAACTCAGGTGTGACAATCTGGTCCCTACACCTACTATCTAAAGGGGAGGCCTGGGCCCTCAACTTGTGGCATGGGATGCTGTCTCCAGAGAGACAACAGTATTGAACTGAGGAATATCCAGCCACAGAAGTCTGTGTTAATTGTCAAGGATCTAGGAGATTTTACCTACATCTCATCAATGGTCTGAACCATAAGCAAATGGATGTAGCCTGAGACTGTTGGGATGTGTTGCCTGGGTTTTGAGGGCAACAACATCACACCAGTTCCTGTATCTTTTTGGGTACCATCATTCAGCACTGCTCCAATCCCCTCTCTTCCTTCTACCTAGAGGCAGGTGAAAAACATCATTCTCAGTTCAGCTGCAATTGCACTGGTAGAAATAAAAGGGAATAAAAATAGTGTCATGAATGCCACACCAGCAAACAAGCCCAGTCTGGGAACCAGCACCATGCGTAGGCTGCCACTGGACTGGGAACAGCTAGACCCAAGTCTCTCCCCATGAGTCAATGCCATTTGCAGACTGGGGGAAGACAGAACAATGCTGCACCAGCAAACAAGCCCAGTCTGAGAAGCAGCGCCATGCACGGGCCACCACTGGACTGGGAACAGCTAGACCCAAACCCCTTCCAGCATGCAGGCTGGCAAACAAGAAGTACCAATCCTCCCTCGTCCCCCCTGTATGTGACTGCCTTATCTGGAGAAACACAGGCTGTGATGCTAGCTATGGAGGTGAAATGCAATTGGATGCCTGTGGTGCGTTACTGTTTCATTGACCTTGCAGGTCTTGGGCCAGGGGTCTGCTCATAGGTTCAGAGGATATCAGTTCACAGCGTGGCATCTAGTGGGGATCTCCTTCTGAGGGTTGTGGCCATTGTTGATTCCCTATGGTCTTGTTTTGAGGTCCTGTATCATTTCTATTGTTTTGTTACGTTGGGTTTTATTCTCATTTGTTCTGTTTGATTATGTTAAATCTGATGGCAGGAGAAGCCATTTCAAGGATGGCAAGATATATTAAGGTAGCAATTCTCGATTTACTATTGACTTGTTTTAAAATCCTTTATTGCATTCATTGTTTTGTTTTTATTGTTTCTATTCTATTCTATTTTGTTGTTTGATTTTTTAACTATGTCCAAAGGTATCTGCCGCAATTTTGAAGCCATTGAAAGGCATTATGGTAATTATTGTTAATTTTGTTGTTTTGAAGTCCTATATCTCTTACACTGGTTTGTTTTGATTGATTTTATTCTTTTTTATCCCCTTTAAAATAAAATTTAAAAGTGCCACGAGGAAGTTCAAAACAGTGCTGTGTATAACAAAACAGCAAGCAACAGCTTATGTGATGTCTACAATAGGAATTAGTTAAAGTGAAGTATTAGCCCACCTACCAGAATGAACTGCATATGCTTTTGAATTTTGTCACAGTTAACTATATGACATGGCACACTGTCCTTAATATATACGTAAGTGCTGAAAGCATCTAACAGAACAGTATGTGAAGACTGATATTGTTTTTAACTATTTATTTCTACATTTGGTGAAAGATTGGCACAAAGCACACTGCAATGGTAACCGTTACTGTGCAGCAATGAGCCCACTCTTATTTCCCATGCTGAGGGCTCTACTTGCATCTGCTTGTGTAATACTTCCTGTGACTCTGGAGAGGAGGTAGCATCACCCAAATTTTACCAGAGACCAAAACTGAGGCTCTAAGAGAAATGGAGCTCCAGTCTTCCCTTGGACAAAGCTACAGGGCTCTTGCAGGAGAGTGCAAGAAGTATAGGATCACCACAGTCCCATTCAGTGTCCCCTTACAGCCACCCCCATCTTGTGGTCTAGTTCCCTCCCTTGCCCACTCCAGGCCATGGCTTTGGCCACTTCTCCTGTCTCCTTGCATCATCCTGTGTCCTCTCTCTATTCCTTCTAGCTTAGGATCGCTTTGTACTCAGGTTTTTATTAAAGAAAAACTGCCTCTCAAAACTCCACTTTCCTCTCCAGTAGCTGCTCCATTTCTCTGCAGCACAAGTGCCCAAAAGAGGAGCACACAGGTGTCTTCAGCAAAAGGGCATCATCATACCAGTAAAAGAGATGACAGGATGACTGGCTTTCTAAGATACTTTATGACAATTGGCTCCATCTGGACTCAGGGCCCACGTGGCAAGGCATAACTCTTTACAATTGAAAACCCAGCCTCCAAGTTCATAGGGCAGGAGCAGAAAGCAACCTTGGAGCCCCACATCTCCTTGAGAGCAAACTCCTACGAGTAATATGACAGATTCCCAGGAGCCACCCCAAGGATGAGCATAGTTATTCAGTCTCCTGTGGACATCAGAGATCATCAACACCATTTTCTACTTTTCAAGCACATGTTTCCTAGCCTGACAGAAAGCCCATGATCTCTGGGGTCAGACAGATCGGTGTCTGAACACCAGCTCTCATACTTCCTACCTGTGTGACCTTGAGAGAGAGATCAGATCTCTCTGGACCTCTGTGTCCTCCATGGCAAGTAAATGTCCATGAAGACCAACAGACAGCAAATGTATTCTTTTAGAAAATTTGGTGCACACAGATCACATACTGGGTGTTGATGAATAGCTACTCACCTCACAAGAGTAGTGGAAGTTACTGTAATGGCCTGGGTCCCTTCTGGAAAGACTGGTCCTCCACACAAATGCCACCTCATGAGGAATTTTCCTTTGGGCCTTCAGCCTGTCTCCTGTATATAGGTTGAAGCCTCTTGCCTGTAGTGATAACAAAGCATATAACTCAATGGAAGTGAGTTTAACCCATGCAAAATATGCCATGAATTTGTAAGAGCTGCTGGGATTGTAGTGACATCATGAAGGCATATAGGGATTTGGCTTCTGGGTGCTCTAGCTTGTGAAGACCTCAATTTTCCCACAAAAACATAGCTCGTCCAAGGTGGCTCCACACAAAACATCCTCTTCCCCAAAGGCCCCTCTATGGAGCAGCCTGATGTAGCAGGAAACTATCTGGTGTGGGCTGCCACTGTGTCACCATTGATGGAATTTCCTGCCTGCCCCTGAGCATATGGTGGGCACAGTAGCTCCTCTTCAGAGACCTTTTGGATTCCCAGATAATAGGCTCAGGTCTCCATTACCAGTGTCACACCACCCTCAAAGCCCTGTCTCCTGTCTGGACAGGTGGACGCTATCATCTAAAGATAGGGCTCTTTCCTTCACCCCAGCTGTATCTTTAAGGGTAGGAGACAGAATCATTCTCTATATTTGCTATCCTACCCCTGAACAGGGCATGTTCTGTGTCAAATTGAATACAGGGGGGAAAAAATTCTGGAAAAGTTTTGATTTCTTGGAACTAAGGGGGAATTCTCTCATCTAGCTATGAGTGAGTTAAAATAGTATCTGTAATTTTAGATTCTCTATATAATCTAGGTGTTGTCACTTGGTAATAGTAATAATACCACAGTGCTGTGGGCTAATAATGTTCCCAAAGCTTATATGTTGGCATTTAAAACCCCTATTACAATGGTAGTTGAAAATTATGTCTTTGGGGAATAAAATTAGGTTTAGATGAGGTCATAAGGGTGGGGTGTCTCAAAGACCTAATAAGACATCTTAGAATATATGTTCTCTCTCTCTCTCTCTCTCTCTCTCTCTCTCTCTCAACTATATGCATGAAGGAAAGGCCATGTAAAGATAGCAAAAAAAAGGTAGTTATCCAACCCACCTTCCAGACACAGACCACTTGGCATCTTGACTGTGCACTTCAAGTCTCCAGAATTGTAAGAAATAAATTCCTGTTAGTTAAGCCACCTAGCCTTCGGTATTTTGTTCTGGCAGTCCTAGCTGACTAAGAGACTGTATTCATCAGCTTTTCTGTCAATGGGACAAAATATCCAACACCCACAGCTTCAAGGAATTGAGATTTAATTTGGCTCACAGTTTGGGAGTTACGATTCATGGCTGACCAGCTCTAAGACAGGAATATCATGGTAGAAGTACACGGCAGAAAAAAGTTGCTAACGTCATGGCAGCCAAGAAGCAGAGACAGAAGTGAGGAGGCAGGTAGGAGAGACACCCTCCAAAGCCACATCCCCAGTGACACACTTCTTCCACTGAGGCCCCACCTCCTAACAGCCCAGTTAGCTATGAATTGTATCAATGAATCAATCCACTAATAAGTATATTGTCCCCATGATTCAGTCACCATCCAAAAGCCCCACTCTGACAAAGGAGTCTTTGAGGGGGAGGGGGCTTTCTAAATCTAAAACATAACATTCCACCCGTCCCAAATGGCTCATGCCCATCTCATTATGTAAAAGCTGATCTCTGAGAGTCACCGAAGTCTTAACAGTTCCAGAATTGCTGAAAACTCCAAGTCCAAGGTCTCCTCTCAGAATCAAGGCAAACTCTTAGCAGTGAGCCCTTACAAAAATCAAAAAAGGTTAAATATTGTGACCATATAACAGTACAGGATAAACAGACATTCAGTCATTTGGTCTGGTTTTTTAAAAAAAAATTTTTGGGAATGGTTATCAAAAGCAAAAATATTTATTAAAAAGTTAATCTTTTAAGTCAACCAAACTTTGGATTCAGAAATGATGACTCAGAATGCTCTGTGAGTAAATAAATGCTTGTGAGCTAATTCAGCATGGCTTTCATGTACCCTGGATCTTTACATGTTCCCCTCATCAGGTCTTGCATGGGCTGAGAGGGCAAGAGATTCTTGTAGATTGCCAAAAAAATTTAAAAGAACATAAGCTCTTTGAAAAAGACAAGTGCACCAGGCATAGTGGTACACGCCCGCAATCCCAGCACTTGGGAGGCTCCGGCAAGAGGAATGTTACAAGTTTGAGAGTATCTTGGGCTATACAATGAGTTCATGGATTTCCTGGACTACATAGTAAGACCTTGTCTCAAAAAAAAAAAAATTAAGAAAGGAAAAGGAAAGTGTAAAACTGAAGCTGATGACAAGAAATTAATGCCAATTTTAAAAAAAGAAATAGAAGGAAACTAAAAAATTAGTTATGGAAACGTGAATGGCTTTGAAGCAACAAAAACTAGAAAGAGAAGAATCAAGACTTACAATGTTAGGAAAACAATGTGACAGATGAGAAGGACAGGTAAATGATACCCAGCAAGCTTTTATTTGGTATTCCTGAAGAAGAAAACACAGAAGAGTAGTCAAAGATATGACAGATGATAACCCTAAAATAAGAGAAGACCTGGAAAACTGCAGGCTTAGTTTGAAATTTGTGATCTCAGACCAATTTACTCAAGAAACAAACTCCAAAGAGCATCTGAGCCAAGTAATCAAGGCAATAATGAAGGAACATTCTCAGGTTTCCCAGTGTTCCTCTCTGCAGCAGTGGGTGCCCAGAGGTGGAAAAGAAACTCATGCAGAATTCAGGACCTGGAGAAGAGCAAGATGTGACCCAAGAACCCAGGCAAAGAATCACTATGTATAAAGACAAGAGATGTTTTCAGGAAATTCAGCACCAGTCAAGCCCTTCCTCAAAATAAAATCTTGCCAACTAGTAAATGAATCCAAAAGTGACACGGCCACAGTAATCAGGCCACTGATGTGCTGGAATCTGCAGCGGGGACAATGAGAAGAGGGCCAGGACCTCTTCTTCTCTATACTTCAGCTGCTAGCAGGAGGCCTGGTGCTGCTGGGCCATTTTTGGAGACCCTGCCTGAGAAGTAAGCTAACACAGGGCGAAGCAGAGCCTCAAGATACTCCTGATGATAACAGACCCAGCAAGGCCTAACTTCTTATACTTTTCAGTTATAAATCATCAAATCCTTCCTAGCAGTGTTGAGTTTTAATCTGGCTAGAACCGCCAGGACAGTATGGAATGGAAGGGCTGAGAGCAGGCATTCCTATCTTCTTCTGTTCCTCCAGGGAACAGAAATGTGTGAATTAGGATGGGAGGAGAGGCAGCCTAGAACACACAAGAATAGGGTGCCACCAATGAGGCAGCCATTCTGCCATGTCCAACCAAGCAGAGTTTAAGACTAAGAGTAGCCACCTTAGAAGGAAGGTGGAATGGCAAAATAGGGCATGAAAAGACAGGAGTTTATTGAAAGATTTTATAAGGAGTATCACCTGTTTCATCCCACCATCCCACACTCCAATGGGCCCTACATCAAAGCACAAGTCACCCAGTGCGGAGCAAGAATGTGCTCTTAGGAGTTGGAATCAACTGGCTGGCAAGATGACAGCTCATGTAGACAGTGTAGCCTCTGTATGCTTGTGCTCAGGCCCTCCCAGAGTAATAACAGCTCCTGCTCAGCCTCGTGGGGGACCCTGTGTCTTAGTCATTTTTCTCAAACTGGAACAAAATACCTTACATCCGCGATTTAAGGGAGGAGAGGTTTATTTCAATGCATAGTTGGCTGGCTCCATATGGCAGAAAGGCATGGTGAAGGAGAGCTAGACAGGGCAGACAGAAAGCAGAGAGAGGTCAAGAGATCCAACCAGGCCCCACCTGCCAACACCAAGTCAGGTCAAAGGCCCCTTGATCCAGTCACTTTCCAAAAGCCTCATCTTTTAGTTCACAAGGCTCTGGGAGGACATCCAGATATAAACTAAAACACCCTATGACCTCAGTGCTCCCAAGCCCTCTTGCTTAGGGATACGTGGACAACTAGGCATCAGCAGACATGTGAAGCAAGTCTCCAACATTAGAGTGAGAAACCAAGAATAAAGAAAAATGAACCAATGAAGAAGTAGAAGAAAAGAAAGAGAGAAAGAAAGATGCAGACAAAAGCTAAAAGAAGTGAATAAGGACAAATTATATTTGGGATCACTGCAATAGAGGGGAAGAGACCCCACTACACACTTGGGCTCCATTCTCAAAACACAGGGTCAAAGGAGGACCTGTAGCCAAAGGAGCAGGAAGCCAACGGATGGAAATTACTTGGAGGAGACATCAAGTCTGATGGCGAATTCTGACTGAAGCAACCAGACTGTTTTGTTGAAGGCAGATTTAGGTGATCAGATACCAAGAATGGAAAGTAAGGAATTTTAGTCAGATTTGGGAGTTACCAAGTATAGGTCAGGGGTTATTTCTTAAGCTGATTTTGCAGAATTTGTGATTAAAAGTGAGTGTATGAGGAAACATACAGATGGGCCTAGGAGAAAGTTCAGAAGCCTGACTAAAGTTTGATCAAGCCAAGGGTCTTCGTCCAAATCTTTGTTTTTTTTTTTTTAATCAGTACCGGGGATAGAACTCACGACCGCCTGCTTACAAGGCAGGTTCTTATGCGGCTGAGCTAAATCCCCAGCCCCTCAAATCTTTGAACATTCAGCAAACAGAAAAGCACAGAAATTCAAGAAGCTATTTCATTCATAAAACAAAAAAACACCATCCATGAAGCAAGTTCACTGTACAATGAAACACAGAACAAGAAAGGTTGCTGGAAATTAGAATGAGATTAGCAAAATAACATTCACCAGAAGAAGAACTTTGAAAGGCAAAGTCCAAGAAATATCCATAATGTGAAACAAAGGAAATACATGAAAATAATTCAAAGAAGGAATTCAGAAGTTCATCTGAGGGGACCAATATTTGACTACCAGACATTTTAAGAGAGAAAGGACAGAGACATCACCACAGAGGACAATGACATCACTGACAGAGATGGGACAGGAATTGCAGACAGAGGGAAGAGTGTATGCGAAGACACAGAGTGGGACTGTGGGACTCCAGACTCCTGGAGGAGATCAGACCTCATAGCTGAACCAGTAACCTCCT